GGGCCCATGAGGAAGCTCTCCTGGAATATTCTGCTGTGGAAGATGGGAACGTGGCTTCTGTCGTCTTTGTACAGAGTGAAGTTGTTAAACCCACCACGATAGTGACACCGAAGAGTCACATGTCCTCCCTGAGGCACCACAGGGCTGGGCCAGGCAGACAGGAAGGCGTTGTCCTGACCACCTGGGGGAAAAGGAGGGGCCGCTTTAGAGAGGAGGATGTGGAGCCGCCCCTCCCTCCGTGTGCTCAGAAGATTGTTCCCCTTTCCATGTTTCTAAGTCTCCTACCACACCTGGGTGTCCAGGGCTACAGGAAGAACCTATCCAGCATGGACATGCCGTCTCCCTACAAGAAAAGTGTCAGCTGAGAACTTTGAGCAAGTGCTGAATAAGCGACTCTTACTAGATTTTAATACTGCGAGATCACTCACATAAAACAACACAAAGTAGACACGGCATGTAGGGTGTGTCCTTTGTGAATGGAATATCAGGCCAGTGCATGAACCGAACCCCCATCAGAAGATTTGGAATGTCAGGGTCATGGCTGTGGTTTCCCCACCTCTTCTGGTAGAATGACAGCAGCCACACTGCAGCCCTGACCGTCATGGAAACACTGGAGGGTGTGAGTTACACCTTTGTCCTCAGAGGACCTGCTGTTCCTAGCACTGCTTCCCTCCCTTCCTCAGCTGCTGACACCACTTCCTCTCTGCACACCTCAGCTTGGAGCACCCCAAGCTCACCCTGCTCTTCACAGAGCTTGACTCAGCCAAGGGTAAGAAAGGCCAGAGAGGACGAGGTCAGAAGTGTGAGCCGAGCACCCCAGGGTCCCCCCTTCTTAGTTTATGAGAGACTCTCCGACAGGACTTCCCTCTTGTTTCAGGAAAATCCTCTTAGGTGGGGAGATGACACCCTAAGGTTTGGGGAAGGACTCACCCGTGTGTGGACAGGCCCTCTGGACCAAGAAGAACCCTGGAAAGAAAGATCATGGTCGATGATCCATCTGCAGGCAAACCAGGGCCTCCTGTGCTGCCCCCATGGGACTATGTGTCTAGGCAGCCAGGCCCTTGCTGGGCTGAAGGTAAACTCACCCTGGCTGCCTACCTGCCCCCGCAGCAGGGATCTCAGCTGCCCAGAGACCCAGACTCCTGATCCAGATCTCCACTCCAGGGGTAGATCTACACAACAGGCCCACATGTCCACTCCATGCTGATATCTCTACTCCAGGCCCAGATCTCCAACCCAGGCCCATATCTCCACCCCAGGCCCATCCCTCCATGCCAGGCCCAGAACTCCACTCCAGGCCCAGATCTCCACTCCAGACCCAGATCTCCACCCCAGGCCCAGATCTCCACTCCAGACCCAGATCTCCACCCCAGGCCCATATCTCCACCCCAGGCCCAGATCTCCACTCCAGGCCCATATCTCCACTCCAGGCCCAGATCTCCACTCCAGGCCCATATCTCTACCCCAGGCCCATATCTCCACACCAGGCCCATATCTCCACTCCAGACCCAGATCTCCACCCCAGGCCCATATCTCCACCCCAGGCCCAGATCTCCACTCCAGGCCCTGATCTCCACTCCAGGTCCATATCTCCACTCCAGGCCCATATCTCCACTCCAGGCCCATATCTCCACTCCAGGCCCATATCTCCACTCCAGGCCCATATCTCCACTCCAGGCCCATCCCTCCATGCCAGGCCCATGTCGCCTTTCCAGACCCAAATCTCCACTCCAGGCCCATATCTCTACCCCAGGCCCATATCTCCACTCCAGGCCCATATCTCCACTCCAGACCTGTATCTCCACTCCAGACCTGTATCCCAACTCCAGGTCCATATCTCCACTCCAGGCCCATATCTCCACTCCAGGCCCATATGTCCACTCCAGGCCCATCCCTCCATGCCAGGCCCATGTCTCCATTCCAGACCCAAATCTCCACTCCAGACCCAAATCTCCACTCCAGACCCAGATCTCCACCCCAGGCCCATATCTCTACTCCAGGCCAAAATTTCCACTCCAGACCCAGATCTCCACCCCAGGCCCATCCCTCCATGCCAGGCCCATGTCTCTATCCCAGGCCCATATCTCCACCCCAGGCCCAGATTTCCACTCCAGGCCCATATCTCTACCCCAGGCTCATATCACCACTCCGGGCCCATATCTCCGCTCCAGGCCCAGATCTCCACTCTAGGCCCAGATCTCCACTCCAGGCCCATATCATCACTCTGGGCCCATATCTCCACTCCAGGCCTAGATCTCCACTCCGGGCCCATCTGTCCATGCCAGGCCCATATCTCCACACTAGGCCCAGATCTCCACTCCAGACCTGTAACTCCACTCCAGGCCCATATCTCCACTCCAGGCCTGTATCTCCACTCCAGGCCCAGATCTCCACTCCAGGCCCATATCTCCTCTCCAGGCCCATATCTCCACTCCAGGCCCAGATCTCCCCTCCAGGACCATATCTCCACTCCAGGCCCAGATCTCCCCTCCAGGCCCATATCTCCACTCCAGGCCCAGATCTCCATTCCAGGCCCATATCTCTACTCCAGGCCCATATCTCCAATCCAGGCCCAGATCTCCCCTCCAGGACCATATCTCCACTCCAGGCCCAGATCTCCCCTCCAGGCCCATATCTTCACTCCAGACCTGTATCTCCACTCCAGGCCCATATCTCCACTCCAGGCTCAGATCTCCACTCCAGGCCCAGATCTCCCCTCCAGGACCATATCTTCACTCCAGGCCCAGATCTCCCCTCCAGGCCCATATCTCCACTCCAAGCCCAGATATCCACTCCAGGCCCAGATCTCCACTCCAGGCCCATATCTGTACCCCAGGCCCATATTTCCACTCCAGGCCCATATTTCCACTCCAGGCCCATATCTCCACTCCAGACCTGTATCTCCACTCCAGGCCCATATCTCCACTCCAGGATCATATCTCCACCCCAGGCCCAGATCACCACCCCAGTGCTTCCTCCGCCGATTCCCTTCCAGGACTCACCAACACACGCCACGCTGAGGACTATGAGCGACATGGTGCTGCCGGTGCAGACAGGCGGCCGCGCCCCAGCTCCGCTCAGCAGCGCACAGGATGTTATCTGGCGCCCTGCCCATGCAGTTGACGTGCTGACCACATCATGGGAGGGTGACGTACGCAGGCTCTTCCTACCTTGCATGAGGCCCAGCGGGTGCTCACTCAAGAGTGGAAAATGGCTTCCTGGAAATTGTTCTCACTAGAACTGACACCTTGTGTCCTTCACTATGACCAGCTCAAAACACGTCTCAGATCCAACCTCCCGGACACGAGGTGACTGAAATCTGTGCTGACGTGAAAGACTTTTTATGTATTTTTATTGTTTTTATCTGTGTTTCAAACTCTTTTCCGTGTGTAATATGCAAAATATCTAATAGGTATTACGAACGTTGTCAGAGCAATTGTGACGAATAAACCATTAGGATGTTTCATGCTTGTATTTCTAGTATGACAGCAGAACCAGTTTAAATGATTTAAATACCCAGGGAAGGATTATGCAACTGTTTACAATCTTAGAACTGTTCTTTATCAGCAAAACCCACAACATGTCAATTCTGGATTTTTGTCATTTTATCTACAATTTGTCTCATGACCCAAGAGTCCAGAGCCCCAACTCATGGTTCGCTCTCTGTCTGTCTCTCTGCCTCCCTCATTTTAAATTGTATAGAAATATCCAGCAACATAATGCTATAGAAAATCAAGTGTCCCCCAGGACTTTGGGAAGCCGAAGTTTGCGGATCAACGGAGGTCGGGAGTTCGAGACCTCCCTGGCCAACTTAGTGAAGCCATGTCTCTGCTAAACATACAAAAATTAGCTGTGCCTGGTGGTGAGCTAATGTCAGCTACTCAAGAGGCTGAGGCAGGAGAATCTCTTGAAGCTGGGAAGTGGAAGTTGCAGTGAGCCGAGATCGTGCCACTGCAGTCCAGCCTGGGCGACAGAGTGAGACTCTGCCTCAAGAAACATTTTAAAAAGCCTAGCAAATAGCCTATAATAAAAAAGTAGAGGACTCCAGCTACCAAATTTTAAGGGTTGTGTAAGCCTACATAATGTGCAGCATCCTCAAGAGAGTGAACACAGAGACAAACAGTGTCTAAAATACATCCGTGTACACACAGCCCCGTTAGAGTTGACAAAGGCTGCCGTGTGGTTTAAGGAGGAATAGAATGTCTTCTCAATAGATAACATGGGCCCGAGGGTTACGCATAGAAAAAAATAAATCTACACGTATTCTCACACTATAAAACACTTCTTGTTTTTTATCTTGGTATTGTAAATTTTTTATGATTTATATTTAAAATTGAGAAATAAAAGTTAGATACAGTCGTCCTTCACTATTCGTGGGTGATTGGTTTCAGGATCTCCACTCAGATACCACAATCTGCAGATGCTCAAGCCTCTTACATAAAATGGCAGAGCGTTTGCATATAACCCATGTTCATCCTCCTGTATACATGAAATCATCTGTAGATTACTTATAATTCCTGACACAGCCTACATACCATTTCATTTGTGTCCATTCAACATAGTTTTGCTTTATGAAACTTTGTGGATTTTTTCTCTGAATATTTTTGATTTATAGTTGGCTCAATAAACACCTGTAAACCCCACAGGTCTGGAGGAGCGACTGTGTATTTATAGTATGAAGATGATGTGTGGACTTGTGTCCCCGTGGAGATGAGACCAACAAGGCCTATGACTCTACAGATGTTTCATCTTGGAATGGCTCTGCCAGCTTTCTAGGTGTGCAGAGAGTAAGAATATCACTTGTTCATCTGATTCCTGATCCTTGAACCCGTCTACGTGCTGCATCGTTGGATGGAAATTGGAGTCCCAGACACAAATCAGGCTCCACCTGCTTCCAGAAGCTCAGATTCCAGGGTTGAGAACCCAGTGGAGAACATATGGGGTTATATGGACATAGTAATGATAACACCAGAAAATTCAGGCAAAAAAAGACTCACCTATAGAATGAGGACAGTCACGTTTATTTGAAGACGAGAGAGCAACATAGAAATCACAACAAATTTTTATAAGGTTTACTGATAACAGAAGACTGAAAAATCGTCTGAGGGGAGGTGGAACAGCATGAGGGAAGGTGGAACAGCATGAGTCTAAGTGCCGTGTTAAGACGGAGCCTCTTGTATGTTTGGAATTGTGAGTTCCTCAGTGTGACTGCATTCTCAAGTAGGACTAGGAAGCAAGTCAGTTAGTTTGGAGAGGTGGGCAGGGGTCAAGTGAAGTGGAGAATTGTGGGTTAAGCAAAGGAGTGCATTTTTTCTCCAGCAGGCAGTGGGAACCGCAGACATTGGTAAGCAAGACAGAGCCAGCAGATTTGTGGTGTGAGGAAGAGCAATGCTCTAAGATGCAGAGTCGAGACTTCAGATTCCAACTGCTGGTACATTGGAGCTGTGAAGCCGGTTTTGAGACAGGGCTGTGGTCTCCATAGAAGACCCCTTCCAGGCCTGTCTGTGGTGCTCGTGGGCAGGAGACAACAATCTGGGCTCAGCATTTGGAAGTTCTATGTACACGCTGGTATCTGTTGGGGGTGTCTTGGGCCTCTGAGAAGGGCGAGTGATTTTTCCCCGTGTGAAAACGCAGTGATCCAACTGTGTGTATGTCACCTCCTGAGGGTCTTGTTCATCAGGGTCCTGGAGAGAGGGAAATGTTGAGTGAGGGAGGGGCTCACATTCTTCAGGACTAGTAGGGAATAAGAATATATCCATGAGGCTGGGGAGAGGAGGGCCTACCTCCCTGTTGACTGTTCTGTCCCCCGCAGGCTCTGGGTCCATTACAGCAGCATCTGTAGGAGACGGAGTCATCAAAACAGCTGGGAGGGCACTTCTGGGTCATCATTTCATGAGCAGAGCCCAACACACAGCGGGAGGTCGTAGGTGCCTGAGGTCCCTCAGCTGCCAACAGCCAGACTCAGACATTCTATCTCTCTGAGCTGAAGGACCCATCCCATAAAGAGCTGTCAGTTCCCATCCCAGCGATTCTGCCTCCCACTTTCTGCCTGTCATGGAACCTTCTCCTGGATGTCTGTGGCTGCAGGGACATGAGGATACAGTTCAGAATCTGGCAATGGTCTGTGAGCTGAAGGCAGGGGCAGGGTGTCTGATGCTCTCTCTAGAAACCTCTGCCTCTGTGGCTCCTGCCTTGGGCTCGAGACCATCCTGCTGGTGAGAAACACACACCTACGTGCTCCCATCCCTCCTCATCCTTCCTCCCTACATGGCCCTGAGGTCTCTGGCCTCTGGTTTTTGAGACTTACTCTTTTTGTCGGAGCACCAGCAACGATGGAGAAAGAAGAGGAGGATGGTGAGGAAGATGGTGGCCACCGAGTACCTAATCACAGCAGGCAGGTGTGTGACGATACCTGGAGGAAGATAGGAATCCAATGAGAAGCTCACCATAGCAGTTCCTCTTTGAGGATTGTCTCTCATTTCTTGGTTGCCAGGCAACCCCATAAAACATCTCTTTAGGACAAGCACCCACGTGGTGGGAGACCCAGCTTTCTCCTCCTTTCTCAGTTATAGTTTTCGTAATAACTACAGAATGTGCCGATGAGACACCTGCTGTCGTATGGATATTTGACCCCCCCAAACTTCACTCTGAAATTTAACCCTGAGTGTGGGTGGTGGTGCCTATGGGGACGTGTTTGGGTGATGGGGGTGGATCCATCATAAATAGATTAATGTTCCCCCACACGACGGGGTTAGCAATTCTCCCTTTATTAGTACTCTAGAGAGTTGGTTCTTAAAAAGAGCTTGGAAGCTCCATCACACCCCGTTTCTCCCTGTCTTGCTGTGTGATCTCGGTGGTCTCTGCACATGTAGGACCCCTTCTCTTCTACCAGAGTAGGAGCAGCCTGAGACCACAGCCAGAAATAGATGCTGGTGTCCTGCCTCTTGTACAGCTTGCAGAACCGTGAGTCGACCAATTCTCTTTTCTGTAGAAGTTACCCAGGCTCAAGTGTTCTTTTACAGCCACAAAAAGGGACTAAGACAGCAACATCCTGAGATCAGGAGGAACGTCCCAGAACAGCCTGGGCTGTCTTCCTGTTCTTCCCAGAGGAGGACGTCATGCAGTGCTTTAGCTCAGTGCTTCCTGTGGCTCCAGGGTACAAAACCCAGGCTGGGCTGCTTTCTGGGTTCCCCCAGCTGCAATGCAAATGGGGTGACTCCATATGTCCCGAGCAGCTTTTCTGAGCCTTGGGGGACTGGCTCACACTGAAATGTAGGCTTCTGTTGTCAGTTGCTGGTTATCTGTTAGTAATGAACCTGCCTATGTCATGTATTCTCTGTGTGTTCTGTCTCCCTGGAGTGACGGTGAGTGATAGAAATTGGCATAGCCCCAGGTGCAGTACAGGAGGTGTTTAGAGTCTTCTCTGGGAAGACTGGACTGGGATTGATACACAGTGAATGTGCTTTACAATTTCTACGGCCACAACCCTCTTGACTCAAACACATTACATTTGACAAGAAAAGGCATAACATGAAATCAAGATCAAAAAAGTGAAGTAGAACTGTCATATATCAAACAGCCAGGAAATAATGATGAAGCTCGTGAAGAGCGTGCTCCTTTTTGTGATCTCGGGAGTCCTATATTAGGCTGCTGTTCTACCTGAGAGTCCGGAGGAAGGACAACCCCCTCCATCATCTATTGCTTCGGTACAACCTGTCCTTCTGTGAATTCGTATAAAAGGTGACCAGGAGATGGTGCTGGCGCTGGTCTCTGAGTCCAAGATCTGAACTCCAAAGAATATTAGTTTTTACCTTCCCACAGTCTATCTGTGTCTCTTAATGTGATAGGAAGTAGAGGTGAGGTGGGGGATTTGGGTGAGGGGGCAAGTTTTATGCCATGAACATAGATTCCAATAGAATCCCAAGGGCTTTAAAAGATGAGGAAGAAGGCAGAGCAACATTCAGAGAAAGAGGTGTGGTGAGGAAGAAGGATCTGACTGATGTCATGTGAGAAATGTGACCAGCCTTTGTGGGCTTTGAGGAAGGAAGATGGGGACCAGAAGCCAAGGAATGTGGGAGCCTCTAGGAGCTTGGAAAAGTGAGGAAGCAGATTCTTGCCTGGAACCTTCAGAGGGAAGTCAGCCTTGACGTCACCTTGATTTTAGCCCTGTGAGATGACGCATTTCATAATTCTGAGCTACAGCACTGTCAGATATTTTTTTAAAATGTGGCTTCCATCCACGAAGCCTGTGGAAATTTGTTATGGCAACATAGGAAAAGGGTCCACACTGCACAGCCTGAGCATGGAGCAGTGGCTGAGCCAGTAAGTGGAAGTGTCATGTGCGTGGATGAACTCCGTTCTCTCTTACTGCAAGGCTCTTGCTCTGCTAAGTCAACCAAGGTTGGATCATGACAGACAGGAGCTCATTCCTTGGCAAGTAGAACTTCTCTACAAACACCCCACCCTCAAAAATGTTCCCCTTCCTTCCCCCTCTCAAGCCCCCAGGCATTTGTCCTTTGGTTAGGAATGCAGGCAGAACAAACACCACATTTATCCCGAGAACAACGTCTGATTTGCACTCAACCTTCTACCCTGAGGTCTCAGCAGCAGAAAATCAGAGGTTAAGAGATTTCACTGAGCCCTGTGCTGGGCTCAGATCCCTTTCGTTGTTGGAGTGTCTGGGGTTCAGAGACAGCGGAAGACAGGCCCACAATCACAGAGCTGGGAGGTGCTGAGCCAACGCTTGAATCCAAGGCTTCGACCTCCCCGGGTTTTCAAAAGCAGAGGTAAGAGGGATCCTTCACTTACCAGTTTTGAAGCTTGGTTCAGTGGGTGAAGGCCAACTACTTGAAGGGTTTCCTAGAACATGGGACAGGAGAGAGGTGTGGAAATAAGGATGCCTGTGTTCTACTCAAAGGACATCTTTGAGGTTGGTTCCTGGCCAACATTCTGTTATCTAATATTGGGCCCTGGGAGTCCTGGCATCCCCTTCTCCATAATCATTGTACGTGATGCCCACTATCTTGAGACTTTAAGGTATAAGGAGAAAACAGGAGTATCACACTACCTGACTTAAAAATATGTTACAGAGCTGTAGTAAACAAAACAGTATGACACTGGCATAAAGAAAAGCACATAAAACAATGGAGCAGAATGAAGAACACAGATGTAATCCACCTATTTACATCCAATGGACTTTGAGAAAGGTTCCAAAAATCTACAATCTGGAAAGGACAGTGGTTTCAATAAATGATGCAGGGAAAACTGGATAGCTACATGCAGAGGGATGAAAATGCACCTCTACCTCTCACCATATACAAAAATCAAATGAAAATGGGTTAACAACTTAAGGCCTGAACCCATTAAACATCTAAAAGGAAACACCGGGGAAATGCTCCAGGACATTTGTCTGAGGGAAGACATTTTGTTTAAACCTCAAAAACACAAGTAATCAGAACACAAAAACATAGACCATTGGGATTATATCAAACTAAGCAGCTTCTGCACTGCAAAGGAACCAACCAACAAAGTGAAGAAGAGACAACCCATGGAATGGGAGCAAATATTTGCAAACTATGCATCTGAGAGGGGATTAAGAACTAGAATATAAAAGAAGCTCAAACACCTCAATAAAATTACTAATTTAATTATAAAATTAGTAAAAGACCTGAACAGACATTTCTCAATGAACAAAACATACAAATGAACATTGCGTATATGAAAAGTGCTCAGTATCACTGATCATCAGAGAAATGCAAATGAAATCACAATGAGCTATCATCCCACCCCATTACAATGGCTTTTATCTCAAAGACAGACAAAACAAATGCTGACAAGGTGGTGGAGAAACGAGAACCCTGATACTCTGTTGACAGGAATATAAATTAGTACAACTTTCACAGAGGAGAAGAATATGGAAGTTCCTCAAAAAATAAAAAGAGGCTGGGTGCTGCAGCTCACCCTTGTAATCCCAGCACCTTGGGAGGCTGAAGTGGGTGGATCACTGGATGCCAAGAGTTCGAGACCAGCCTGGCCAACATGGTGAAAACCCATATCTACTAAAAATACAAAAATTAGGCGGGTGTGGTGGCAGGTGCCAGTAATCCAACTACTCAGGAGGCTGAGGCAGGAGAATTACTTGAATCCTGGAGGTAGAGGTTGCAGTGAGCCCAGATGGTGCCATTACACCCCAGCCTGGGCAACAAGAGTGAAACTTCTTGTCAAAAAAACAAAAAGCATAAACCAAAACCTAAAAAGAGAACTTCCAGAGGATCTAGCAATTCCACTAGTGGGTGTAAATGCAAAGGAAAGGACTTCATGTATCAAAGTGACATCTGCACTCCCATGACTGTTCTAGCACCATTCACAGTAGCCAAGATGTGGAGTCAACCTACCTGCCCATCAGTGGGTGAATGGATAGAGAGAATGTAGTACATCCACACGGTGGAGACTACTCATCCATAGAGACAATAACATACTGACATTTGCAGCCACATGGGTGGAACTGGAGGTCATTACAAGGATTGCCATTTCTCACTAACCTGCAGGATGTAAAAGGTGAAGCTCATGAAGGTAGAGAGTAGAATGGTGGATGCCAGAGGTTAGGAAGGAAAGGATGGAGGGTAACAAAAAAAAGAATATAAATTTATTTATTTATCTATTTAGAGACAGAGTCTCTTGTGTCACCAGGTTGCAGTGCAGTGGCATGATCTCGGCTCACTGCAACCTCTGCCTCCTGGGCTTAAGCGGTTCTCCTGCCTCAGCCTCCCAAGTAGCTGGGATTACAGGCACGTGGCACTATGCCTGGTTAATTTTTTTTCATCTTTTTAGTAAAGATGGGTTTCCCCCATGTTGGCCAGGGTGGTCTCCAGCCCCTGATTTTGAATGATCTACCTGCCTTGGCCTCTCAAATTGCTGAGATTACAGGTGTGAGCCACTGCACCCGGCCTGTATAGGTATTTATGACCCCTAGATTTTACACTTAAAAATGGTAACGTTGGTAAATTATACAGGTATATTTAACCTCAATCAGCATTTTTTCAAATGAAAAGAAAAGGGTGTAAGGGTTGCTGGTGATGACATCTCTCTGTGGGTGAGAGGCCGGGATGGGCTTCTGGGAAATGGGTAAGGTTGAGGGGCTGAGGGAACCTCTGATCTCCCCAAACTGAGCCCAATCTCCCTTCCTCTGGGTCTGTCCTGACCAGTTTCTCCATCTGCCTGGATGCCTGAAGCCCTGACCACAGGCCTCCATGCAGGCAGTGCGGGAGGGTTTGATGTGCTGTGTCTGCCCTCCTGTGCCCTGACCCCAACCTCACACCGAGGCTTCATCTTCTCTCTGCATCTGTCCATCCCTCTCTCCATCATCAGCAGGAAGCTCCCCAGCTATGGCTCTGGGATCATAAGACATGGGACAGACATGGGGTTTCCTCACCTGTGACAGAAACGGGCAGTGGGTCACTTGGGTCTGACCACTCGTAGGGAGAGTCACGGAGAGAGCCGAAGCATCTGTAGTTCCCTCCGTGGGTGGCAGGGCCCAGAGGGAAGTCAGCCTGGAATGTTCCATTGACGCTCGGCACTGCAGGGAGCCTAAGTTCATGGGCCTCCCCCTCCCTGGATAGATGGTACATGTCAAAGGAGCGCCGGGAACTGCAGGACAAGGTCATGTTCTCTCCTGTGGGAACCGTGGGGCCCGGCTGGGCTGAGAGAGAAGGTTTCTCATATAGACCTGGAAGGAGAAGAGGCAGTTTCCCTCAGGGAGGTTCTTCCTTGTCACAGCTCCCATCACACCTGAGCTGAGAACTCATTCCCCTGCTCCATGACCTAATGCTCTCTCTCTCTCACCCTCCATCCCCGACTCTCCCTGTCGTTCCCTCCCTATGTGGCTCCAGCCTGGTGGTGGCATCAGCAGTGCACCTTTGCTGATCTCGGGGTAGCCAACCCTCTTGTTTGGTTTTTAAACTTGTCCTTGACCTGGGTTCCTGTGTTGGTTTCCTGTTGCTGCTGTAGAAAATTATCACAAACATAGCGGCAGGAGAGAACACACTGACCCTTCCACTTCTGGAGAACAGAAATTGGATCCAGTTCTTCCTGGGCTAAAATCAAGGCATCTACAGGGCTGTGTTCCCTCTGGAGACTCAGGGGAGAATCAGTTCCCTTGACTTCTCCAGCCCCTATAGGCCTCCTGCCTTTGTGACTCGTGACCTTCCTCCACCTTCAAAGCCCACAGTGGCTGATGGAGTCTCCCATGATGCTGCTGTAATCCCCACTCCCCTCTTCCTCCTCCTGTCATGAGGACCCTTGTGATTCCACTGAGCCCAGCGGGACAGTCCAGACTGTCTCCCCATCTCAAGGTCAACTCATCAACAACCTGAGCTCCATCTTCCCCTTCAGTCCCCTGCCCTATAACATAAAGAGTCACAGGGTCCACGGATTACAATGTGGCCATCAATGGGGACAGTTATTCTTCCCACCATTCTTCCTCCCAGCACCCATTCCCCTGTATTAAATCCCCTTTACCCCAAAGACAGTCAGGGCCTGGATGATGGGACCCTGACGGACACCCCCAGCAGAAGCTCTGGGATTCAGGAGGTGGGACAAGGAGAAGCCCAGACAGGAGCCCTCTGACCTGTGACCATGATCACCAGGGGGTTGCTGGGTGCCGACCACTCAGTGGGGGAGTGCGGATGAAAAACTCGACATCTGTAGGTCCCTGCATGTGCTGCAGTCACAGGGCTAATGAGGAAACTGTTCCAGAATATTCTTTTGTAGAGCTCAGGGACAGGCACCCCGTCTTCCTTGTACAGCGTGAAGATGTTAAACCCAGGACGATAGTGACACCAAAGAGTCACGTGTCCTCCCTGAGGCACCACAGCGCTGGGCCAGGCAGAGCAGAAGGGCTTGTCCTGACCACCTGGGGGAGAAGGAGGTGCCGCCTTAGAGAAGAGGATGTGGAGTCACCCCTCCCTCCGTGTGCTCAGAATATTCTTCCCCTTTCCGTGTTTCTAAGGCTCCTCCCACACCTGGGTGTCCAGGGCTACAGGAAGAACTTATCCAGCATGGACATGGTGTCTCCCTACAACAAAAGTATGGGCTGAAAACTCTGAGCAGGTGCTGAGTATGGAACTCTTACTAGATTTCAATACTGCAAGATTGGTTACACCAAACAACACAAAGTAGACACGCAGCGGAGGGTACGACCTTTGTGGATGGAATATCAGCTAATGCCTGAACCATAATAAACAACTGAGCCCCATCAGAGGGATTGGAATGTCAGGGTCATGACTGTGGTTCCCCCACCTCTTCTGGTAGAATGACAGCAGCCACACTGCAGCCCCGACCATCATGGAAACACTGGAGGGAGTGATTTACCCTCTTGTCCTCAGAGGACCTGCTGTTCCTAGCACTGCTTCCCTTCCCTCCTCTGCCAGTGACACCATATCCCATCCCCCGACACCCCAGCTTTGAGCGCCCAAGTCTCCACCTGGGCCACACAGAGCTAGACTCAGCCACGGGGAAGAACGGCTGGGGAGGGATAAGACAGAACTCAGGGCCGAGCATCCCAGGGTCTCCTCTTCCTAGTTCACGAGAGATTTCCCCACAGGCTTTCCCACGGTCAGTCCATCAGCCGCCCTCTGTGCTGCCTGCCTCCCTTCTCAGGAAAATTCACTTGTATTGGTGGGGATGGCAACCCATCATTTGGGAAGGACTCACCCACGTGTGCCCGCACCCTCTGGTCCAAGAAGAACCCTGCAAAGAAAGATCATGATGAACTATTCATGTCTGCAGCAACCTGCCCTTTCCTCCCAGCCATTGGGCGCCTCGCTGGGCTGAACGTTCACTCAGCCTCACCACCCGCTTGCTCCAGAACACGGCTCCCTGTTGGGAGACCCCGAATCTGCAGGCCCGTAGTGTAACCCTGGTGCTCCTTCCCTTCCAGGACTCACCAAGACAGGCCAGGATGACGACCGTGGGCGACATGGACTTGGTGCAGCTTCTGCTGCCAGGATGCAGTGACTCTGCTCGACTGACCGGTGCAGAGGATGTGGTGAGGAGCCTGGATCATGAAGTTGACACATTGACCACAACATGTGAAGGGGACACAGGTAGGCTTCTTGTACGTCATATGAGGTTCTAGTGTGAGTCCAGTCAAGGGAGGAATGTGGCTCTCTGAAAACTGCAGACTAGACTTGTCACTTCCCATCATGCATGACGGCCAGACTCAAAGCACATCTCAGACCCACTTACCCCAGCCCAGGAAGACTGAACTGTGCACTCACATGAAGGACTTTTGTTGTAATCTTTTTCTGTTTGTTTGTTTTTCTCTGCGATTGAAACTCTCCTTCATGTGCAATATGCAAAATACCTAATAGGTCTTATTATCATTATTGAGCAATTGTATTAAATAAATCATCATAATTTCCCATGCTGGTATTTCTACTATTAAACCAGAAACAGATAAAATGATTTAAATCTCAGTAGAAAGACTGTGCAGTTATTTAGCATCATAGATTTCCATCTCATTAGCAAAAATACAACATGTCGATTGAGGATCTTGTCGTTTTATCTAGAGTTTGTCTTATGACCCAAGACTTTAAACTCACGGTTTCCTGTCTCTCTTTCTCTCTCTTTGGCTTTGCGCTTTTCTGCTCTCTATATTGCTTGTGTGTCTTTCTCTCTCTGACTCGAAGAAAAAATACCAGAATGATAACATCCTCCAACTTGATACCGGAACACTGCAGTAACTGAAGGTTCAAATCTACTCATTTACTGTGCTGTCATTCTTCCAAATGTCTCTTACAGCTGCCTTTCTGGACTTTGTGAGAACTTTTTCACTGTGTATTTTAAATTTGTAAAACTCCAACTTTTTAAAAAATGATGGGCCTCTCTGTTTTGCCCAGGGTGGCCTTTACTCATTTTGTAAGGCTGACATCACCCTAATACTAACGACAGAAAAGAACATTAAAAAAAGAAAACTACAGGCCAATATTCCTGATGAACGCAGGTGCAAAAATCCGCAGAAAATACGAACAAACTGAATCCCGCAGCACATCAGAAAGCTAATCCACCATGATCACGTCGACTTGATTCTTAGGATGCAAGGTTGGTTGAACATACACAAATCAATACATGTGACTCATCACCTAAACAAAACTAAAGACAAAAACCACATGATCTTCTCAATACATGTAGGGCATGCTTTTTACTCAGCATTTCTTCGTGTTAAAAGCCGTGAACAAGCTAAGCATTGAAGAAACATACCTCAATATAATGAGTGCCACCTATGACGAACCCACAACCAACATCACACGGAATGAGTAAAAGCTGGAAGGAGTTCCTTTTATAAGTGAAACAAGACAAGAATGCCCACTCTCACCATCCTATTCAACATAGTACCTGAAGTCCTAGACAGAGCAATGAGGAAAAAGAAAGAATAATAAGGCATCCAAGTTAGACGACAGTAGTAGAGAGAGGTAGTCAAATTATCTCTGTTTGAAGATGATATAATTTCTATGCCTGGAAACCCCATAGTCTTTGCCCAAAGGCTCCTGCATCTGAGAAACAAACTTCAGCACACTTTAAGGGTAGAAAGTCAGTGTACAGGCCTGGTCCTCACGCCTGTAATCCCGAAGGGGTGGCCTGCCTCTCCACACCTGTGGGCGTTTCTCGTTAGGTGGAACGAGAGACTTGAGAAAACAAATAAGACACAGAGACAAAGTATAGAGAAAGAAAAAGTGGGCCCAGGGGACCGGCGCTCAGCATACAGAGGACCCACGCCGGCACCGGTCTCTGAGTTCCCTTAGTATTTATTGATAATTATCTTTACCATCTTAGAAAAAAGGGAAGTGGCAGGATAATAGGATCATTGTAGGGAGAAGGTCAGCAGTAAGACATATGAATAAAGAACTCTGTGTCATGAATAAGTTTAAGGAAAAGTGCTGTGCCTCGATATGCATATGTAAACATCTCCATAAACCATTTTAGTGCATAAAGAGCAGCATTGAGCTAGCAAGTACCACGTTTCACCCTAAGGCGGTTTTCTCCTTTCTCAGTAAACAGAACATACAATCGGGTTTTACACCGAGATGTTCCATTGCCCAGGGACGGGCAGGAGACAGATGCTTTTCTCTATCTCAACTGCCAACAACCACCGAGAGGCCTTCTTTCCTCTTACACTAGTCCTCCTCAGCACAGACCCTTCACGGGTGTCAGGCTGGGGGACAATCAGGTCTTTCCCATCCCACGAGGCCATATTTCCGACTATCACATGGGGAGAACCTTGGACAATACCTAGCTTTCCTAGGCAGAGGTCCCTGCGAACTTTGGCAGTGTGTGTGTCCCTGGGTACTTGAGATTAAGAGAATGGTGATGACTTTTAACCAGCACGCTACCTTCAGGCACTTGTTTAACAAAGCACACCCTGCACAGTCCAAAATCCTTTAAACCCTGAGTCACCACAGCACATGTCTCTTGCAAGGACAAGGTTGGGGGTAGGGTCACAGATTAACAACATCTCAAATACAGAACAAAATGGAGTCTCCTATGTCTACTTCTTTCTATATAGACACAGTAACAGTCTGATTTTTCTTTCTTTTCCCCACATAATCCCAGCACTTTGAGAGGCCGAAGAGGTTGGATCACCTGAGATCAGGAGTTCGAGACCAGCCTGGCTAACATGGAGAAACCCTGTCTCTAATAAAAATACCAAAATTAGCCTGGCATGGTGGCACGCACCTGTAGTCCCAGCTACTTGGCAGGTTGAGTCAGGAGAACCTCTCGAACCTGGGAGGAGGAGGTTGCAGTGAGCTGAGATTGCACCACTGCACTCCAGCTTGGGTGACAAGAGTGAAACTCCATCTCAAAAAAAAAAAAAAAATTTAATCTATGAGGAGAAAGGTATTTGTGGTGTACATCGTGATGTTTTTATATAGGTACACATTGTGGAATGGATGAAACAACTTCTTTATCATATTTATTTTTTCACATACTTGTTGTATGTTTTGTGTGTGTGGTGAGAACACTTAAAATCTAATCTCTTAGTAATGTTCAATACGCCACATGTTGTGATTAACTGGAGTCCTCAAGACATACAATAGATCTCTTGACCTGATTTCTTCTAACTGAAATTTTGCATCCTTTGACCAACAACTCTTCAATCCCTCTCCTCCCCAGGTTCTTTTGACAACCATTTTACTGTTTCTCTGGGTTCCACTTCTTGCACTCCATATATGAGATCTTGGGGCATTTGTCTTTCTGTGTGTGGATTGTTTCCCTTGACATAATGTCCTCTAAGTTTATTGACATTGTCACAAATGACAGGACTTCCTTCTTTGTTGTAAAGGTTGTATAGTACTTCATTACATTCTTATTGTATACCACATTTTCTTTGTCCATGCCCCCATAGATGGGCATTAAAGTTGATTCCACATCTTGACTGTTATGAATAATGCCGCTGTAAACATGGGAATGCAGATATTTCTTCAATGTACTGATTCCACTTCCTTTGGATACATGGACAGTAGTGGGATTGCAGAAACATGGGAATTCTATGTTTAATTTTTTCAGGAACTTCCAGACTGTTTTCCATAATGGTTGTATTAATTTACATTCCCATCAACTTCATACAAATGTTCCCTTTTCTCCACATCCTCATTAACCCTTGTTATTTTTTATGTTTCTGATAATGGACTTTTTTTTTTTTTTTTGACACAGTCTTACTCTGTCACCCAGGCTGGAGTGCAGTGGCAGAATCTCGGCCCACTGCAACCTTTGCCTCCTGGGTTCTAGGGATTCCCCTGCCTCAGTCTCCAGAGTAGCTGTGACTACAGGTGTGCACCACCAAACCCTGCTAACTTTTGTATTTTTAGTAGAGATGAGATTTCGCCATATTGGCCAGGCTGGTTTCGAACTGCTGACCTCAGGTAATCTCCCTGCCTCGGCCTCCCAAAGTGCCTGAATTACAGGCATGAGCCACCGTGCCCAGACCATTAATGGTCATTCTAAGAGGTGTGAGGTGATATCTCATTCTAGTTTTAATTTTTATTTAGCTGATGCTAATCATTTTTTTGTATAGCTTTTGGTGATTTGTCTTATTCTTAGAAATGTCTATTCAGATACTTTCCCTATTTTTTAATTGGGTTATTTGATTTCTTATCATTGAGTTGTTTGAGTTTCTTATATATTTTGGATATTAATTCCTTATTAGATGTATGTGTGCAAATATATTCTCACATTCCATAGGTTGTCTTTTCAATTGTTGAGTTTTTTTTTTTTTTCTTTGCAGAAACTTTCAATTTGATGTAATTTCATTTGTCTACTTTTGCTTGTGTTGCCTGGGCCTTTGGGATAATATCCAAATAGGTTTTGTCCAAGCTAGTGGAGTTTTCCCTTGATTTCTTTTAGTAGTTTTTTGTTTTTTAGATGGAATCTTACTCTGTTGCCCAGGCTGGAGTGCAGTGGTGTGATCTCGGCTCACTGAAACCTCTACCTCCTTGGTTCAAGTGATTCTCCTGTCTCAGCCTCCTGAGTTGCTGAGATTACAGGCATCCACAACCACACCCAGCTACTTTTTGTATTTTTAGTAGAGACGGGATTTCACCATGTTGGCCGGGCTGGTCTTGGAATCCTGACCTTAGGTGATCCGCCCACCTTGGCCTCCCAAATTGCTGGGATTATGGTCTTTCATCTTACATTTAAGTCATTAATCTATCTTGAGTTGACTTTGTATGTTTTGTGAGATAAGTATCCGCTTCCATTCTTCTTCATGTGGACACGAAGTCTCCTAACCCTATTTATTAAAGAGGCTGTTCCTTCTCCATTGTGTATTCTTGACAACATCCCCAAAATTGTTTGACCCTAAATGCATGCATTTTTTTTCCTGTGCTATGAATCACTTCCATTGGTCTATGTGTCTGTTTTTATGCAAGTACTATGTTGTTTTAATTACTGTAACTTTGTATTGTAGTTTGTGTTTAGGTAATGTGATGCTTCCAACTTTGTTCCTTTCCCTCTAGATGGCTTTGGTTATTTGAGGTCTTTTTTGGTTCCACATGAATTTTAGGATTGTTTTTTCTACTTCTGTAAAAAAAAAGTCATTGGATTTTTTATAATGGTTGCATTGAATCACTTTGGATAGAATGGACATTTTAACAGCATTAATTCTTCCAATCCATGAACATGGAATATCTTTTGATTTATTTGTTTTTTCTTGAGTTTTTTCATCAATGTTTTATAATTTTTTATATACAGATCTTTGTACTCTGTGGAT